CGTGCTCATGCCACAGCATCAGAAATCGCTGACATATGCCAACTGTTCAGTTTATGAGTTGTCTGGTGAATTAACAACAATGATTAGATGCTGGTATGGCAGTGACCTATTTAGAAGAGGGGATGACTGCACACAAAACATGCAGGTCAACTCAGAACATATCAAGATCCTTTTTCTGTATTATGAGGTCCCGTTGAATTGCTACTATAATATAGTTACTGTGAGAATATCAATATGTCCAGATATGTTGTATTTACTATGGTCTGAAAGTAATGATTATTTTCATTATCGAATCATCTGTCAATAGTTATTTCAATCTATCTTTCCCTAAAAAAAATGTAATCCCATTAAAAATGTGTAATCCCAATTCGTTCAAATCAAGGTTTTGGTTTTTTAAATGTCTTGTTTCATCAGCCAAAAACCCAAATTATAAAATATATACAAGAAAACCATTTTTTCCCCATTTCTGCTTTAGGAATAAAAGAAATACCAATCAATTCTCAAATACTTGCAGATTATTTGTCAATTTATCAATTGATCAATTAGTTGATTTATCGATGCAGCTCATAGTAAAGTACATATACACTGATGTTTATTTAACTTTATATACACAATGAAGCATTCGAATAAGTAACAACAGTATAAATACTCTATATAGCCAATGAGTATAGCCATTTTCAAGAAAAATCTCAATAAGCAAAGTGATTTAAAATGATAGCTGCCATGTAATGTAAGGTAATATATGTACGTAGCTGTCTCTGAAGTGTCGTGGAAGAGAAGCTAAAAATGGTACATAGTAATATTTTACACTGTCATAAGTGAGCAAATACAAAGCCATTTGTCCATTGTGGGACACAAGAGTTTTTTATGTCTCTTGTATACAAATTGTCTGTAAAAATGGCTCCCAGCTTCATGACTATTGGATCCATTGAAGACGTAAATCTCGCCTCACAAATAAAGAATGTTTAAGGCTCAGTACGTCCTAGTACTGCGGGCCAGTAGCTTTCAGAAAATAGTCTAACAGAAGGTTATACTGCATTTGTTGGGAACAATCTTTGGTGCCAGAATACTCCGCATTTAGTGCTCCAAAAATAAGTATAAGGAAGGACGGTTTATTTGGGATTGAGTTCAAAACAACCATGTGTTCTTGGGAGTAAAGGAAAATGTCTCCTAGTGTTGCTCATTGATGTGTTTTAAAATGTTTATCACATAGGAATATTATATATTAGTTGGATACAGCGGAATACTTGTGATCGGTTGTCTGAATATGGGATGAGTTGGTCATCTTCTATCTAACACTGTTCAAATAAGCTACACTCACCCAATCTATATAAACTAACACACAACTACTCTAACTGTAACTGGGAGACTGAAATACAGACCAGGGCTTTTCCCCCTCCCCCTCCAGCTTCTATAAATCTGTCTGTTGCTAGATGGATGGATGACGACGGGGAGTTTGAAGTATCAGAATTGTAAAATATGATTGTAAACGTCAATCAGTATTGATCTGCGCACAGAGATATAATCAAGGGCCTTTGGATTATGAATCATCCCTCACATACAAAAACGAGTGTCGGTTTATTTATTTAAAAACTGAATTATCTTATTCCAACAGATGTTAAATTACTCTCTGTCATTTCGACATAAATGGTAAGACAGAAGAAGAGTCATTATGAAAAGGCAGAATCGGGCGGGTAAGTGGATGTAGATACAGAAAACGTACTGTTTGTAAAGCTATGATTTGACTGTGGGGATTAAAATGGATAAAAGTGAAACAGCATGTGGCGGGGAAGGCTTTGCAGTGACCTTTGACCTCCCAAAATCCCTTAAAAATGAGTATTATGTTCTTTCTACAACACATGTTAACAGTAGACAAGGCTCATAATGTTATATGTCACTGAAAGTCACTGTACATTTGGTTTGGGTTGAAAGGTTTTCTATTTCCAGTTGCCCACTTGGTTAAATAACCCACTAAATCTGGCTTTTGTTTCCAGTGGGAAAGGTTGCAATTGGCATTTGTTCCTGGAAAGAATATCTGGCTCAATGCTCTGATGAAGAGCATTTAAGGAAATATTTAACAAATAGAAATTCAAGGATTTTGACAATTATTATAATGTATCAACATACAAACACTTAATATGCTCTCCTTAAAACCACCAGGCCCTAGTCAGACAAAAGCAATTGAACTTCCTGATGATCGTAAAACACACATATTTCAAAAGCAAATAAAACAATAAATCTCATTAACACCATCACTGCTATTCTTTCAGTTGATCCAACAATTAGCAAATCTGGTTAGAGAGTATGAAAGAGAGATTAAGTAGTCAATAGAAAGTAACTATCACTGTTTACTAACACTGCAATTGTGACTTTGATCAAGACTGGATCCATTTTCAAAAGAGAGTAACGACACTCGCATAGACTTCTGTTGAAATCTAAATGTCATGGAGCGACCAAGCAAATTCACTGTTGAGTTGATGAAATTATGCATCTTTAAGGAATTTAGAGCTAGGTTTAGCTAGGACAATATCTAATTTAAGATTGATTTTAATGTCTGTTAGCCATGTTAGTAACATTTTGCTCGCTGAGATGTTATGTCACGTTAATTGACCTAAATTTTGCTCAACTTATTTGCTGTAGAAGATTTTTTTCTTAACACATAAAAGGGACACTTCCTCTCTTAGTTCATCAACCAATGAAACCAAGGTAATGGACTGATTGTTGACATTGTTTGCATGGTTGTTTTCATGATATCACTACATGGTAGCGAAATCATGTAGTGTCACAACTTTTTAAATGGCACTGAATGTGAAGCATCAGAAAAAAATGGTATACTCACACTGCCAATGGTAAAGGTTTTTAATGTCTATTTAAGCAAGATTTCCCGTGTTTGATAAACCTTCATATATGTGCTAAATATGTATGATAGCAGTAGCAGTGGCAGTAGAAACAGTTGTAGTCGCAGCAGTAGCAATAGAAGTAGAACCGTTAGCAGTACAAGAAGCAGGACCAGTAGCAGTATTAGAAGGAATAGAAGTAGAAGTGGCAGGATGTGTGGCAGTAGTAGAGCAGATACGTACTAGTAGTTATAGTAACAGTAATAGGTGTAATTGATGTTGGTAGGAGTTGTGGTTGGCTTCTGGAAAGTCACTATAGCTGAATGTGAGCTGTAAGTGCGAGTTGATTCCACTATTGCTGTTGAGCACCCACACACATAAATAATCTCCACGGTTCCATCCTTATTGACCCATCAAGGTGAAGTTATTGTCAAATGCATCATGATCACAAACCGCGCTGTACTTTTCCATGCTGATGGAGCTGAGAGCTGGAACAGATCAAACCCCTCTATGGAGGCATTCATCTGATCACTGAGCACACTCACTGTGGGCTGCCCATTACTGCAGATGGTAAGCCATCAAGACCATTGAGGCGTCCTCAAAGGAAAGCACAGCTGCAGCACACACACGCACGTATTCAAAGAGCACACACACCCTCGCCTCATCCAGCAGCCTCCATCAGAAACATGACTGTCTTTTAACACAAAACAAGTCAGTGTAGCACCGGGAACACACATAAAAACTTGTATTTGAGTTCAGATTATATGATTACTTTTAGCGTTGGTCAGGAAAACAGGAATCACGGTGGTTGTTTGAATGAACTCTAGGATTTACCGACAATTGAACGATAGATTAACTGTCATGTTTCATACTGTGATTGCTATGACCCTCATATCCTGGATCAGCTCAGTAATATTTCATCATGTTTCCTGAAATGTTGGGAACCCCAGGATTAAATGTTTATTTCAGAGCATGTATAAAATAATGACAGGTTGTTTTGTCTTACGACTTCTCATTTTGTTGGACCATTATTAAAACAAGACCGATCATTCAGATGTAATCCAAACAGTGTCACCAATTTATAGTTTGTCCACCAAAGACCACTTGATTGACCCGGCTTAAAACATTGATTTTTACATTTGAAATGCTCAGTAGGTTTCATGGCCATAAGGAAAACATCTATAGATCAATAATATAATGTTGATGACAAATCTAATAAGTCCATCAAGTTTGGTTGTTTGTGTTCAGGTTTTTAAAAGGTCCTGGTTAAATATAGTCTATATTAAGCAGACTTTTTATTCCCAACTATCAGTTTCTATCTAAAAAAACATGTATAAATAAGACTTTACAAAGAAACTGAAGGTGTTTGCTGAGGACAACAATATTAAACACCATAAATCAATTATTTAAACATTTTGAAAATGCAAACAGAAGATGATAAAAAAAAACAAGCCCTTAGGCCCTTTTCTATGTCAGAAATGTAGTTTTAACACTGCGATACTGTGGGTATTAAGCAGATACCTACACTAATCTGTGTAAAGTTTGTATTATTCCAGCATTAAGAATAGGCTACACATGTCAGAGTGTGGGGGGAAATTGGGATTTACTTTAGTTAAACCATCTCACTTTTGGACCCTAGCAAGTGATTACAGCCACAGGCCTGTATACTGTACATTTAGACCTATGTCAGTCAGTCTCTAGACACAGAGCAAAGGCTTCTGGGACAAATCAACTTACTCTTGATGGACAATATAGGACCTAATTAAAGGAAACAACCTTGAGTTACTGACAAGCCCATACTCCCTGAAATGATTATGTCATTACTTGCAGTTGTAGGGTCAGAAGAGCACCACTTCTACAATAAGATCACGTATAGGCTACTTTAACCAGCGTCACAATTAACATGCACCCCTTTCCTGCAACATAGCATGAGCCCAAACAGTCTGTATGCTTATACCACAGGACGTTCATACCAACTCACTCATATAGACAGTGAAGATGTGGACAAACATTAGTTAGAAAATAGCTCCATGCCCTTGTTCGCCCTTTGGTCACATAATCAATCACCAATCTAATTCATTTTCTGGATACATATCACATCCTTATTGTGTCTGATATGTCTGCAACAATAACTCTTTATCTGTCTGTTTAATTCATTCCTACCTTTCCGGATCTGGTCTTCGATTTCTTGGTCGAAGCCCACTCGATGGCATTTCCTCCACAGCCCCATGTTTGTAGAGTTATACTGCCTGCTGCACTCATCCGCGGCGCTCATGGCGAACAGCTGCCGCCGGTTCCGGGCAAGCAGCAGCTTCTCCTCCCAGCGGGGCAGGCTGCTCCGGCTGGCCCGCAGAGGCAGGCTGTTGTTGGGAATGTAGATGAAGCCCGGGTCCTTGCGGCGGCTGGAAAAGCTTCGGCACCGCTCCCTGTATCTCCTGGCGTCGGTCTCGTACCAGTGGTCGGAACACATCGCCACAGCCAGCATGCCCAGGGCGCAGAGAGAAAGAGAGAGCCCGGCGTAGAGCAGCAACTTCCCGGCAGCCATGCTGTCACAGCCGCATCAGCACCTCGACAGACGGACAGCTCCTCTGCGGCTTCCCCGCGACTTCAGCTCACATCACCTCTGGAGAGCAGGACCATGATCGAGGTGTGGAAAGAGAAGGCAAACCTCATTGACTGACAGACACAGTGTATTCCTTTTATTCCGGTGGTGTGGGCTTCACGGTGACAACGTCTCTTCCTGCGTGGCTTTGCAGCAGCTCGGCGGAGACAGAAGACGCTTATCTCATCTCATCTTCAGCATCCATCCGTCTAAACAGGGCGACACCAACAAACACACTTAAGCATAGCATTCGAGTCTAGTCAAGCATATTATCATTCACACCAAATGCACCTTCACTGCAAAACCGTCACTAAATCAAACGATGGACAAACACGGGGGCAGCTTTAGAAACTGCTAGAGAAAATCGTGCTGCAGGATTTAGCAGAAGCCTATTTACAATACAATGGCATAGCCTACTAAAACAGCAGCATTATACGACTTACATGGCGGGAACCGCTTTGATATAGCCTACCTGGTCTATCCAAATTGAGCCCATGCAGACCGCAGTCCATCAGCAGGAGAGGGGAGAGGGATCAGTCAGCATCCCCAGCACGTCTGATAGGATGACGGCCTGTCCGTGGACCAATCAACGGCCAGCTGTCTGGGGGAGCACCGAGTTAGCTTACATGCTACATGAGATTTGATTTGACAAACTAACAGTGGTGGAATTTCAAAAAGGTGGGCTAAATGAACTCAAGTACTGTACTTAAGTTCTTTTTTGACTACTTGTGCTCACATTTAGGCAACTTCTACCATGACTTCTTCCAATACATTTTCAAGGCAAATGTTGTAGCCATAGGCTACGTAAAACTCCACTACGTTAATTCAACACTTAGCCTACAAGTTTGAGTGCTAGTTACTAGCCACTTAGCTAGTTTCGAGCCACTAATATAGTTTCTAGCTTCTTTGTAAATACAAAAAAGCATGATATGCTCGTGTAATATGATGCAGTATGCTACAAATCTACCCTGGATTGTAAAAAGTAACTTAAATTGTTTAATTTGTTTGGGTCAATTATGGGCCGACACCTTTTTAGACATATATATTAACTTTACAAAACTATAATTACAACAATTTCTTATACCTACTATTATTGCGCTGCTATTACTATCAAGGTTTTCCTTTGCCTTCATTTGCAGTTTGAAGTCCTACAAAACTTGATTCCTTTTTCAATGGCACATTTATTTACCTTTAATAACATTGTTTTAATAGAAAGAAAAAAGTAGTGTATAATCCCAGATGGCTAAATGTAAATCAGCAACTTTATGAGGTGATATTATATTAGACTTCACCTCTTGTTGTGCTGCCCCAAGTGGCCAACAATAAATGATTAGCTTTAATGACCCCATGGCCTTTTCTGTATCATATTGATACTCACCAGCAATAAATCAAATTCTGATCTCTGGACAAACTTCACACTTGTATCCCCACTGGTGGTAGCCAAAGGCAGGTTATGAGATAATGAGCCACTGGGCACAAATGCTTAAAAATAACATTAAGGGTTATTCAATTAAAAGCTGCTCTGGTGTAACCCAACAGCAGAAAAGTCCCAAAAGTTTGCTCATTGCAGAATTACCTCTCCTTGAGATACTATGTGCTCATGGCCCATATATTTCATGTGTTTCATGTCAGGCAGCATCACTTTGGTGTGCAGGCCGGTGAAGCTTATAAAATGTCTAGAAAAATCTATGGTAGCAGTTTTCTGTTTCTTCATATCTGGCGCCCTCCTCTGTTAATAAATTGTAACTGCAATATATACACATTTAATGTACAGTACACACTCTGGTTATGGTCTATGGTTGATCAATGCAAGAAAGGAATACAACTTACTATATACTCAGAGGAGCTTTACTTTCAGCACATTTTGAACATGATTTAAAATATGAAAGGTTTGAAGAAAAAGAATGCATGACACAGATTGGCATTATACTCTTGGAATTATCTGTCGTGTTGTCTAATTAATACACGTGAGTTCAACTATATTTAAAGTGAGTCTTTATTCGGCCAAGCACGTTGTTAAGGTACGACAGGTAAAGCAACCTAGCTTAAAGGTCCCATGTCATGCTTTTCCGGTTATTACCCGTCCCCTTTTGTGTTAAGAAGGTTTGTATGCATGTAAACGGTCTGCAAAGTCACAAACCCTCAAAGTACACCCTGTAGCGAGTAAAACTCTAACACAGAAAAGACCTGTCTATGCTGCCCCAGAACGCCTCTTCTTCTTCTTTGTTTAATGGCGAATCGCTACCACTTGGAGCATGTATCGCCACCTAGTGTTGATTTATTGAATCTTCATGTTACATCCTTGCCCTCAGACCAGTGTTTTGAGAAACTTGAAGATCAGTTTGTTAACTTCATTTCTTGAGTTCTGGTATTTCATTTAACTTATAGGTCTTGAATTATTGTCCATTTGCTATAAGGCTTCTAGCATTCCACTACAGAATGATAGAAACCATTAAACTTCACTAATCTGTGAATCATCATTATTGGATTATAGCATATCATGTAGCATCTCAACAGTTATGACATTTACCCCCCAAAATGCACCTGCTGCTTCCACTATTGTTTTCAGTCTTGACTTCTTTTTTGTTTGGAATTATGATCATTAGAAATGGCCATGACATGGGACCTTTAATGACGTCAATGAGCCGCGCCCACCGGGCTGCAAACAAATACAAATACTATTGGTTATTTTCATTTAAACACATACAGCACAATAATACCAGAACAATATTTATTGTGTGTAAAATAATAGATAATGAATGGCTGGAATTGGAACTTTGAGTAGAAGCTGTGACATCCATAGATATATATAAACACATCTGTCGGAACTCTTAGGAGGACGGACCTCCTGCATTTTATATTTATCAGACTTTATCAATAAGGACAGACTATCAGCGTTGACTAGTTACATTTGACGTTACGTTTGACACATATCTGTTTTTTTATAAATTATGTTTCATGTTGTAGGTTAAAATCGCCGCTTTACCATTGAACCGGAAGTGAAAGCAACCAACCAATCAACTTCACGGAAAACTAGTCATGCGCAGTAGAGCTTGTGATGGCAGTATGGCGTGTGAAGGTTAATGCTAGCTAAACGTCAGTAAACTTAACTATTACTGCCATTTAACTAAAGTTTGGTTCGTTTTACTAACGTTTACAGATTGTGTCACTTTACAACGGTGTTACTATCGCACAGGCTTCAGGTAAGAGACCATGTTATCACTGTTAAGAAGACTAACTGGACACATGTGAAGTGATGTTATTCATCGTGTTGTTACAGGGGACCAGGGGGGTTTCATCAAGGTTTCTGGCTTAAATGCAACCAGTAAACCACTAAACTCATATCCATCCCCATAAACTCACATTGTTTAGTCAGTGTGGTTGTTTAAAGGTTTAAACATTCATTAGACTGACAAGATGGTCTCTTTCATACTGTAGATACATAGTAGGCTACTACGTTGGGGTACTGCAGAGGGTACTTGGGTTTTGTTTAATGTGAAAACATCAGTTTTGCATTGCTCCTTGAAGATCATTTTACCACAATAAGTGCAAAAAAAAATATGTTCAATATTCCTGATTTAATGCAATACTGCTGCAATAAACGAAATCAATTTAAAAAACATGTTTTTTTATTTGAGCAGGGCTAGCTGGTTGAAAGAAATATCTACTGTTACATTTAAAACATATATTTTAGAAATACTGCTGTTGGTCACAGTACAACACCATTCACAGCTCGTATTTTTACTCTTTCTTTAGATATGTCCTCCAACTGTTCTACCAACTTTAATAATAATATTAATGATAATAGCTAAAGGTTAAAATTATTATTGTATTGATAAAATAATAATCCTATAGGATCACTATTTTATAAATATATATTGTTCCTTATAGCTTTGTGAAGCACCTTGAGATGACGTTGTTTTTAAAGTGTGCTATATAAATCAAATTTATTATTATTATTATTATAAATAGTATATATATGTATGTATGTATGTATGTATGTATGTATGTATGTATATGTATATATGTATGTATGTATGTATGTATGTATGTATGTATGTATGTATGTATGTGTAAAACATTTCTAATAGCCAACATGACATGCTCTCACATTTGAGATGCTTGAACCAGAGTATTTCTGCATACATGTTCTACCTGTCTCAGGGTTGAGGTCTTCTCTCTGCTTTGTTCAGCAGTCATGGCCAGTCTGTCCAGCTATGCCGTGCGCATGGCCAGACTGAGCGCACAGATCTTCGGGGAGGTGGTGCGTCCGACTGACTCCAGATCGCTGAAGGTGGTGCAGCTGTTCCAGGAGCCTCCCATGGCCCAGAGGAAGGAGGTGTATGACTGGTACCCACAGCACAAGATCTACTACTCCATGACCCAGAAGCTCCGGTTCATGGGACTGTTCAGGTACGCTTTGGAAACATAACATCTTCTAGTAAAGAAACCACACTTTAAAAAAACTCTGTTAAACTCTTACATTTTCTTACTTATCAATGATTTACTACTATACTTGTTTTTGGATATGTATTTTTTTATATATCTTGCAAACATTGCTTTTTAATTTAAATTTTATAATCTTTTTATAATAGTTGTAGGGCTGTGCGATTATGGCAAAAATCATAATCTCGATTATTTGGGTCAATAATTGATATCACGATTATTAAATACGATTATTCATTGACTTTGAAAAAATCCATTTATTGAACTTTAAAACAAATACAAACAATAATTTGAACAGTATCTTTTTAACTGTTGATTACCCTGAACGTATAATTCAACTGAAAAACCAATACAAAAATAAATGATACATTTAAATAAATATCAAAATAATAAATACCAATAAACAAGATCAACAAATATTTTGGAGCGCACTTCCACAAGCTACTAAACATATATAAATATGATAAATACAAATAAATGAGACCAAAATTAATTACATCAAATATGTTGCAGTGCAGTCACAACCTAGCAAAGCTAAATCATTGTTTTTTTCGATTATGTTGTTTTCATAATTGTGGCAGGCCAAAATCGTAATTGCGATTAAAATACGATTAATTGCACAGCCCTAAATAGTTGTATATTTGCGCCTCTTTTACAACATAACGCCTATTTTATTTAGGTTTTAGGAGTATTTTTAGACATGTTAGACTATCCCAGTTTGCAAGACTGGGTTACAGATGCATGCCCAAAGGAAAAGCCCTTAATTGTCATTAAAGAAGTAACACCGCCACTTTTTAACAGTATGAACACTCAATTGGTAGACCTGGCAGCCCATGAACTGGGGCTTCTCCCTTTTTCAACTCTGTCTCCACAATAAAAAGCACTGGTCCAAAGAAATATTAAAGGTCCCATGTCATGCTTTTGCTAGTGGAGCCTCGCAGATGGGGCTGCTGAACCCCCATCTGCAGCAGAGGCTGTGTTTGCATGGTCAAAATTCCACATTGACCGCTGCATATAAACATGAATATTGGTGATTATTCATTTTTATTAGCCTTACTTTCAAAACCCCATGTAAAGTAGCCAATGAAAAAACAATGCTTACATTTCAAATGTAAGGCCTATGTGGAAATGTTATGCCCTTAGAGCTGCTGGAAGGGTTTGAATGTGAAACTCAATGCAGGAAGTGATCAGAACAAATTAGAGCGTTTTACCGGACCCTATACTAATCATAATAAAAGCTTAACTAAAATGTGTGCTTTTCCTTCTCAGAGACGAGCATGAAGACTTCAAGGAGGAGATGCGTCGCCTGAGGAAACTGAGAGGAAAAGGGAAGCCAAAGAAAGGAGAGGGGAAGAGAGCCAGCAAGAGGAAATGAGAAGTATATCTAGGTTTGGGCAGACAGCTTTGGACGCTGTGCATGCTGTCTTTGGACATTACTGTTGCGGGATGTCGATGCCGAAATAATTCCATTGTTTTGGTCGGAAATGCAGTTCCTTTGTCACAAACTTTTCTATGTTGGGAATACCTTAGCTCAGCATGACATCATCCTGTGTCAGTTGTACTGAAGTGAACTCCATGCTTTTATTGTTGAACATTGTTTCAAATCTTTCCTTAAAGATACTTCAACATGTTTATGGTAAGGATCATCTGACCACACATGTGACGAGAAGAAGATTATGTCCATGTTTCATAGAACTGTTATTGGAACGGCTGGAAAAAGATGTAAAGAAACAGGCATCTTGTGTGTTTTCAAAATAAAAATCAATGTAAGACAACAAAGCTCTTTCTGCCTGCTTTTCAAAAACTTGGCTGTAACAAAAACAAACATATTGGTATTAACTTATACATTTCATATCGTATTACCTGTTCATGTCAATATGGGGTTGTATGTAATGCTTTGCCAAACATCATGTGTTCTTTCTAGCCATTAAATAATGACTGGTAAAACATTTTGGCAACGGATGTATGAACGATGTCTCACATAGCAGCTATGGAACCTATTCGGCAATATTCTAACCTACAGGGCATAACATAAATACATTTAGAAAAACTTTCAGTGGTTGGATTTCACGGTTACAAACTTCAAGCCTTGGATGACCAACTGCAGCGCAGCACTAAATGGTACCTACAAAAGCTTGCTTGGTTTTGAGTACATTTATTATTCTTACAAGAAAACTAATAATATGTTCTTATAAGCCCTGAATTGTGTACAAATTAATGAACTGGTTTTACATTTGCTGAGGTCTCAAACAAGACAAACATTCTAACATGAGGCATGTGCTCCAGTTACTTTTTTCCTGTTTGGCTTGTGTGGGCGTTTTTTTTTTTTTGCTGCAAAAATGCTTTTAAAACGTTAAACCTTTGCTGCATAATCAAGTAATATCCATGTTTTTTTTCATGACAAGCTAAGATATCAGCATATGTAGGCTGCAGCGATGTCACATGCATGTACAGATAGTTATGAGACATAAATACAAAAGAGGAAAACAAGACAAATGTATTCAAAACGTTAAAAGTAGTTTACAACTTTTGATATCAGAAAATAGTTGTTTTAAGTCTTGGTGACCATGACCGTGGCCTCTCTCATTCTGTGGGTCGAGCTCCTCTGAAGAGGAATCAGAGGAGCCGTCATGCTGTCCAGCGGTTCAGAAGCCTGTTGCTTTTTATAACTGTAAAACAAAGAAAATCATTAGAAATATTGAACGTTTGAAATTTCAGATTATAAATCAGTGTAGAAAGTATTTTTGTGTTTCACATCTAATACAAGATATAAGGTCAATAGCTTAGATTGCTTCACATCCCCCCCACACTATAATATGTTGAGCATTCAGTCAAGGAGAACAGGCATGTGCAAGCCTCCTAAAAAAAGGGGGAATATTATTGTCTTCTTCAATAATTTCCCCCACACATATAATGGTTCCTGGAACAATACTGTGTAGCCTGGCTCTGTAAATCCTGTGTCTACAGGTGTTGCTGACAAATAGGGAAACTAGTGTGTACAAAAAAAGGGTGGGGGGCAATGCAGTTTGATTTTTGTATGAAAAAAGTGTCCCCACCACTTTTCAAACCAAAGTGCTGCCCATTGGAAACAGTAATGAGTCAAAATCATGTTCTTATATGTAGCCTATTAAGTGCAGATTCATTATTTAAAGGAAAACTGCAAATGTATATTCTTCAGAAGGATTATATCAAACAAGTAGCCCTCCATAGAGTTCGTTATCTTTCAGGTCTCAGTCTCGAAAAGGTTGGTGACCCCTGCTCTAGTGACTAAACATTTTTTCCACTGAAAATAAGTGTAAATGTCAATTTTAAATGCATTTGTATTAAGGGTGTGTTATACGAGTGATTGTAATTTAAGAGCAGTTGGGTTGAATACGATAACAAAGGGTTTAATACAAGAAAACACTGATGGCTGTGTGGAATATTATTCCCTTACGCATGTCTTTTTATTCTTATTCTTATTTTCCTTCTTCTTCTTTTGTATTTAACGGCAGCTTACATCCTTGATGTTGCATTACTGCTATCTTGTGGTGTTATTTACTTCCTACAATTTGTATTGTTCATATTCTCTTATAAGTCCTGTTATTCTCAGGTAGTTAAGCAGACATTCTCTGCTTGGCCCACTTTTCCCACAGTCTGTAAGTCTTTGATTTTCCATCTCCATCCTTCCAAATGATACCTGTACGTCCACCCTGTCTCGGCTTAAACTAGCCTTAGCTGCCTTTCTGCCTCCTCATTAACCCAAATCCCAACATGTGCTGGCACCCATAAAAAACCCACACTGCATCCCTTCCTCTCCAATTTACAAACCATCATTAAAACCTCCCCTACTTTATCAGGTAGCCCTGCCCCCCTCCCAGCCTCTAAATGCCATCAAAGCAGAACAAAAGTCAGAGCATTACCTGTTCCAACCCCCTTTCCTCCACCCACTATAGTGCCCACAATAATATCTCATCAGGTAATTTTCTGCTCTGACACATTTTCAAATGAGGTACATAATGCCAAATCCCACTCTTTTACTTTCTGGATCTTTTGAGATGCTAAATAATTGTTCCATCCTTAGGTGATTTTCAATATACATGTCCTATTTCACTTTTTTTTAAAACACTTTTTGATTGAAAGATCTACGTTGATACTTGTCCACAGCCAACGAGGGACAGGTGGCCAGTATACAGAGGGTCCTATCTTTATATCATTAAATCCAAGCTCCTCTGCCTTACACATGTCCACTGGGATCAGCACCTTTAGGCCGCTCCAACAGCAGCCTCTAAATCGATTCAATGCTATAGTATACGGGATGCATCATTTGATCTCTAATCTTTATCTAACTCCTTATTTGTTTTAATCTACTTCCATCATGGATAGAGGTTAATATCAAAAACATCCATTGTTTGTTTATATGCTTCTTGAAATCTCTAAAAAAACATTTTCTTTCTAATGTATCTCTTGTATTACATTGTGGCCATTTTGAAAGTGTTTGTTGAAACCTTAATTAATAGCCTATGTTTCAGTGACCTAAAATTATCTAGGGCATGGTAATAAACAGTGGTGGAAAGTAGTAAAGGTAAATGTGGAAGGTAAATGTACTCAAGTACATTTTGAGTTACATGTATCCATTACATTTTGGCAGCAAAATATTGTACTTTTTACTCACTACATTTATTTGGAAACATACTAGTTACCTTTTCTGGTTTATATTATTAATACAAAAGTTAAATTAGCTTATACATTATGATGTACTATTGTGTGGATGGATATATCTTGCAGTATAAAAGTCATTCAATTATATCCTTTAACAGCTGCCAAATTAAAATTAAACAGAAATGAATGCCTCACTATCCAGTGATATCATTATTTAAAAATCTGAGTACTTCTTCCACCACTGGTAACGAATAGTGTAGGAATACTTTGTTACAAGTAGGCTATAAGTCCTGCATTCAAAATGTTACTCAAGTGAAAGCACAAAAGTATTATCATCAAAATATACTTAAAGTACTTATTATGCAAATTGGTCAATTTCAGAATCATATTGATATGTTTTGATTATAATTAGTGCATTAAAGTGTTATCAAAGCTGGTAAAGGTGAAGCTAGTTTTAATGACTTTGTATACTGCAGGGTAGCTTGTGAATTTACTCCAGGTGTATCTTAAGTCTTATTTAAATGTTGATTATATTTCACAATATATTAATCCAAATATGTAAAGTAACTAAAGGTACAAAATAAATCTAGTGGAGTAGAAGTGAGTAGCATCAAATGGAAGTACAAATATCTCAGAATTGTTACTTCCCACCTCTGACCATTGGTAAGAAATGATAAAATAATTTTGTGCCAAGTCAACTGTAGTAGTGTTGGGCTACCCATGCAGTCCAGAGGCTCGAAGTCCCGTCCTGTGCTCTGTCTCCCCCTCCTGTCTCTCTGTCTCCCCCTCCTGTCCTCAGCACCAGCCTGCGTTTCCCTCTATTATTTTCCACTCAGTTCCTCGCAGTTTAAAATGGCGGCGTTGAGCAGCGCCGAGTCCCCACCGCCCGTCTTTAACGGAGACTCCGCGGAGCCGGGCAGGGAGCCGGGCCTGGAGGAGCTGGGTGCCGGCCTGGCCTCCTCCTGTACGGAGGGGATCCCCGGAGGTCCGCAGGATGAGGAGGTAAGCGCTCCAGCGGCGGGGTAGCGGCTCTAAGCTGGGGAATGGGGCACGGGCTCCGAGCGGAGGTAATTGGATGTAAATCTTCAGGAAACACCGGCTGTAACATGGCTCGTGGGGGATGCAGTGCAGGGGGGAAAACGATGTGCGACATATGAACCACTAATTTGAGCACTATGCTTTCACAGCTTCCGAGAAAATGCGACATATTAATGTGAGCAGGAGGTTTCATTCGGCGGAGCCTGTGTTTTTTTCGGGCCTGCTTTATTCCACTCGCTCCTGGCTCCGTCTTCCAGGCTCACTGCAGCTGTAGCCTGGTGCGCCAACACAGCACACACACACACCGCTATTGACGCAATAAAGACACGCAATTACACTGCTACTAATGCCTTTTTATTGGATTCTAATGCGGCCAAAGTTTGCATCACAAATCCTCTGAGGTCCTTTACCTCAATGTGGTGGTGGTGATGATGGTGATAATGATGAGGATGATGATGATGGAGGGGGAGGAGGAGGAGGTGGTGGAGGAGGCTACCTCAAGTCGTGCTTGTGTTTTTTTTTCTAGGTGTAATTTAGCTACACATGCTACTTTTATTTATATTACAGGCTTTACAATCACCGCCCCCAGGTATACATACATACACACACACACACACGCACGCACGCACGCACGCACAGACGGAACCACCAGTCAGGCTGTGACCTCATCATTTGATACACAGTGACCATGTAGCCTAGCCTGATATCTGTCTCCAGTCAGCAGGTCAGAGGCCTCACTGATGGACCATGACCGACATCACATTAGCAGAATACTAACAGTCACATTTAGCATCATTTGCAAAAGTTTGTATATAATGATATCTTAAATAACGTAATGTCAGATGTCCTAAAATAAATAAAAACAGAAGGAAATGCAGTATCGAAACACAGTCAATCTGAATCTGTGAGCTTACTTATGTGGCCCCATTTTAACGGTCCTAAAAATCACATCAGCTGTAATTCGTTTAAATATGTCTGACTGTGGCATAGTCTAAACATTGAATACAAATGCTGCACATACACATTTAAATGGAACTCAAGTGATACTCCCCAAGCAAGCACATGCAAACACGCTGCACAAAACGCAACCAATAACCCAA